AGGAGTCATGGAGGGGCCCAGGATTCCTCTCCATGTTTCCATTCCTCCCTCTTGAGAAGCAGGCTGAAAGGTAGAAAGCTTTGTCTGCTGCCACCACTGTTAGGTGACTGTGGTTATGTCATCAACTTGATTTCTCTAACCAGAACATAAGGGGAGATTTTATGTGGAGACTGCACGTTTGTGCTGTGAGAATAGATATCTAGACCCGATATGATTGCCTGCTTTTGCATCTCCTTCTTGCTTCTGCTCCCTGCAGCAGTGGCATCCTCCTGTTCCTTGCAAAGCTCTGACCATTCCTGTCCCTCTTAGCCTGAGCACCTAGAGCCTGGAAAGAGAACCCAGCTCACACATATGCCAGTGCAAGCATTATTTCTAGATTACCGGGCCACACTTCTCTCCAAAGGCTGCTTATTTATAAGAGGGGACACTGACCTAGTCTTTTTGCACTGATGTATGTAACAGTAGGGGCATAACTTTACAGAATTAGCTCTAAGTAATTACGCAGGGAAGATACGAGTAGAAATCTGAGCAATGATCAGAAATACCTAGCAATGGGCCTTTGGGAAATTACACATGAAGTCTGTGTCTTTGTCACCGCAGATGACTTCTTTTTTCATTCTCCTCCCCAAAGGTACAGCAAGCTCTGCAGTCTTGTTCTGTCTGCGTGGTTTTTCCAGAGCTCTGTGTTTTAAATGTAGGGTTTGATATGCAGCCTTGGGTTTGTCTCCATCCAGCACTGTTAAGTGAAAGTTGTTTGTCTTCTGAAGATTGAATTTGCTGCAGTAATTCTCTTAAAATGAAAATGTTATAGTGACAAAATCCCTCCATATTTTGGAAATAAGTGACACAACAAGCTTAAGGGAGGGTCCACAGGTATCAAGTAACATCTTCGTACCAGTGGAATCACAGATTTCATAGACATTAGGGCTGGAAGGGACCTTGGAAGATCATTGAGTCCAGCCCCCCGCCCATCGAGAATCACTTATGCTGTGCTGCTTTCCAGTTTTACTTATAAAAATATTATATGCATTCTGGTGTCATTCAGGAAACTCTGCTTTGCTTTGTTTTATACCACCACAATATAACTCTAACATAGCTTACATTTAAAAATAGTTATTGCCAAATACATCTTTCTGAAAACACTCAGTAAAAGTTCTGCATAAATGGCTCACCTTTTTTTCCCTTCCCCGCTTGATGGAATTGAATTCATGAGTTTGCAAAGAACTTAATGTATTAAGTCCTTCTCCATAGTTTTATTATTGATATATCGCCATAAGTCTGTATGCTGCAATGATGTATGTGAAGCGACAAGGAACCGTACAATTTACATTGTAAAAATAATGCATATTTACAGTATAATGCAATGTGTGCTACAACGTATATAGCCACCCTTTGCGAGGTTTAGGTACAGCATACATTTATTATGCTTGCTGTAAGTGGCATCCAACGTTTCTCATTATAAGACCCTCTTCAGCTGATTATCGCTTTACCAAACTTTGACTCTTGACTAAAGCATTCCATACCAGGTAATTCACACCTCAGATTGAGAGTGTCTGGAAAACTTCAGCCAAATGAGGCTAGGGAAAAATTGTTTTGCTCATAGTAAAATATCTTTTTTTTTCTGGAAAATCTTTGCCGGCCAGTGCTTTGGGCCAGGCTTGATATTTGGAGATGGGCAGGAAGGAGAAGGAGGAGCCGTCTTTGAGTTAGGGATATGGCTTTTAGCACCCTATGGAAATCTGGCCAAATCTGGCCAAGTGTTAAACTGCAGTTTGCAGACACCTGGTGACGACTGCCTAGATTTTCGCAGGTTAGTGCCTTTGCAGTGGGCAGGTACCTGATACGGGGTCATGAGAACTGAGAATCCAGCTCTTCTGGATGGGGTCGGGGAGGTGCCTCTTCTGTGCACGGCAGCTGTCTGGAGGCTCCCGGAGGAGGAGGAGATCTCAGACAAAGGCCATTTGGGTTAAACTGGATACAACTCACCCTTCTAGTCAGCCAGGTCCAGGGCAAAGGAAGGAATTCACATTGGTAAAAATGACTAAAAGCACTGTGTAAGAGGACCTTGCCCTCCCTCCCTTTTTGGTATTTCACAGCATCAGACTAGTCCCTTGCAGCTCAGTTGTGATGGGGAAGGTGTGAATTCAGAACTGGTCACTGTCAGTAGTGAGGCAGTGAAATTTGAGAGATTCAGAGCTTGCGTGTCGCTGAGGAAAATGGGAGATGCATTACCTGGGGCACTAAGTAATTACTGTGGTAAGAATTGCTTTCTCTCCTTTGAACACCCAGGTGCCAATTCATCAGAATCTGAAGGAGCTACTTGCCATCAGAGGTGAGCTGCAGAAGAAGCTGGAAGAGCTGCAGCGGGAAGCGGCTACTCGATCCATTTCTTCGTCCTCGGATAGAGGATCCTCCCCATCTCACTCCGCCACGCCTGTGCACACCTCTGTCTGACATGTGACAAGAGCCACGGGAAGCAACTCACACCAGGTATACTGAGAGAGGGTGCAGTGTGTTTCCCTTCCTTGAGGACTGAGCGGCTTAAAATTGCTACGATCTACATGCCTTACTTTGTCTGTTTGCTGTTATGAGGCCAAAAAGAGCTTCAGTAGCTGCGATGGTATTTTCTTATGTTGGCAGTTCCTGTGCGTCTGTTTTGACATCTCTAGTTAAATCACCAATTGTAGAATTTACTTTATTTTGAGCAACCAACAATTTAACCATCTTAAAAAGGAACCCATCTGTCAGGCAAATAATGCAAGAGGCTTTTTGCTATCTTGGGTACAGTGGCTGGTTGAGAAAACCAACTGAAATGCCATGTGACACTTGCGCTTAATCAGAACATTGTGATGTGTGTTGTTGTGAATGGGAACTCTCTATTTAACTCCGTACATATATTTTTTTTATACAGAGCAACTGTTATTCTTGGGGACGTGGTTGGGTAATTGATGCACTTTGAAACTGATTTTAAATTAGATATTTTCCAGTGCAGCCAGTTTTACATTTTGAGTAAATATGTCATTTAAAATAAATGGTTATGAAGATAGCAGGATTTGCCAGCTATTGCACACTTATTGGTACTTGTATTGCTGTAATATATTTGGTGAAGCATGGATTTTAGATTTTTTAATGCCTTTTTTTACAAGTTTGAATGAGGTCTTCTGATTAGTTTATTGCTCGGTTTCACTGTCAAGTGAGGTGTAAGCTTATTCATGTCAGTGTCTTGTGCGAAGTACCGTTAGTTTTCTAGTAACGGCAGTGTTTTGGATTAGACTGGCACTGAACTGTGTAAAGTCCACAGCTTCGCATTTTCTTAAGTGTTAAACATGTACACACACAATCCTCCGTGTGTGTGTGTGTGTGTGTGTGTATGCAATGCTAAGCACATGTACACACACTCTCAGTTTTTTATATTTTATGTGTTCAGAAAAATGGTTCCTGCCTCTCCAGATATTTTGGAAGATATTAACCTGTAACAACTTTGTTTGACAGATTTTAAATCACTTGATCTTAGTTGGTTTCCTTGAAATAACCTGTTGGCTTTTGTGATGCTGCCAACAGTTTTGTCGAAGCGAATAAGCAAAACCGGTTTCAATCAGTTATCCATATTTTTATATAAAATATTTATTACTCATTTTGTTTCTGTCTACCTGTCAGCCACCTTGATTAAAGCTTTATTTGATCAACGCTATTGGTGATAGCCAGCCTTCTTAAAAATTACTAATGTGTCCTTTTTTTGGAAAGGACAGAAGTAAGCATGCCTGGAATTTCCCCTTCCATCAGACCAACCTTGCATAAGAAACTCCTCCTTTAGGCATTTAAGATCATGTAGCTCCACTTGTCGACCTGCTGGCCTTGAGCTGTGTAAATCAAGTTCTGCTGGCAGAAATTAACCCTGGGTCTAAAGAAAGGATTGGCTGTGATTCTTACCTCACATTGACTGCCTCCGAGTACTGCATATCTGGACAAAATAAGCTGCGGTGCCACACAATTTCCCCCCGATTTTCTGCACTTGCACGTTTGTATAGCTAATGTATAATGCATACTACTGCGCACGCCTCCTGCTAGTGTGAACAGCAGCAGCGGAAGTGCTGTAATCATTAAGTTTACTCTACACGATGCATGATACTGCCGTATGTCCTTTTGACTTGTATGGTACTTGCATTTTTAAAGTGGTTCGGCTTAAGATGGTCTGACATGCCACATCCTTTAATCGAAGTCAGGCTTTTTTATAAAAAAGACGAAGTGTGCTTTTTATATAAAAGTGATTCTACAAGACAATACTAGCAATCAGTTTTATATGGCCAGCATACGTTGGGCTGGTAGTGAATTCAAATCTTTAATACCTCAAATGTAGCAAGGCATTTTAATGATCTACTATTTAGAGATGAATGTTTCTAAAACACAGCCTAAGAAAGGAGTTTGCAATTTGTTCTATATTGGAGCTAGTAATCATGAAAGTTTTTTGCTCTGTAATTTATTGGCCAAGGAGTGCTTGGGATCAACAGAGCCATTCTGAGATATTAAAACAAACGCTCAGAGTGAGAATCTCTGGATTCATTTTTATATAGAAAAGCATTGCTCGTTCCTCCAGGTAACCTGTTTGTGTCATAGGTTTTCAACATGCCTGAGAGATCCTTCCATTATTTCATGGGGGTACCTGAGGAGGCCTCCTAATAACATGATGGGCATAACGAGCACAGTGGATTTCACTGTCTCGTCTTAACTTGGTAGTTTCTTGTCTCTTAGTTAAAGTGTGGCTCTGCTCTGAAAAAGTGACAGCAACATGATTTCTTCTCACTTGCTCTGCTTGCTGTGGGTATTCAACATTTTAGCATAATGACTATGGTAAAATTAATGACTGTTACTACGACTTATTCCTATTAATGCTGCAGAAGCAGCACAGGTCTGTGAGAGGGAGCAGAATTCTCTTCTAAATGGGGTATCATCAACAGAATTGGCCACTTCTGCTCCAGTTGGTAGACCTCATCTCTGCTGCTGCAACTAAAATCTCCCGAAGGCAAGGGGAGTGTGGGTGGACAGCAGGCAGGCAGCAACTCGTGCTTCAAGGGATGTGAGTGGGGTAACAGTCCTACTCCAGCGTCCCACCAGGCTCTGGTAAACCCCCTATGGGGCAGCGTCGGCAGCATGGAGTTCACGCTGCCGTTGGTCACGTTTTAGAGCTGAGCTGCATTTTTCACGTGTTTGTTCCTCCCCCAAGCTCTTTGTTTTGTAAAGAAACCAGAAGGTTTGGGGAGGCTGGGCAGGGGCTGACCCCACCGCTCCCTCCTCCAGTCTTCCGGCCACAGAATTAAAAGCTGATACGATAAATGTTTGGCTTTGCTTTTTTTCTTGAATGTAAGGGGATTTATTCCCAGGCTACATTTAATAATACAGAGGTAGCTGGCACTGATGTCTGAAAATGAATGGTCAGATGCTTGTTCAGTCCACAAACTCAGTCTTGTAAGGGATGTGCCTGAGAGAACAGGGAAAGCACCTGTGCAAGTCCCCATGAGTCTGATGGGAGACAAACCTCTATATTGTAAAAAAGAAAAAAGGTGCACACCTATTTGTGCGTCAACCTTGAAGCACAATGCATGTTGCAGGGGACTGTCGGGTATCGGAAGAGATAAAAATCCAATCCTGCGCGTGTCCAAAAACAGTGCCAGTGAAGTGGATTTAAAACTGAGCCGTGACCTAGCAAAGGACAGAGTGAGGGTTGCGGGGATGATTCTCCCAGCACATTTTCAGTCTTCAATTTTCATCCCTAACTGCAGATTTCAAGCTGCTTGTTCTTTTCAGCAAATGCAGAATGTCCTCTTACATGGGAGAGGAGTTGTTGAAGTAAGCTGAATGGGTGTCTTTTATGTAGGAGGGTCCGAGGCACACCCCACTCCACTCTTCCTACTTACTTGAAACACACAAAGAAAACAGCACCAAAGTGTCCTTGTGTAAGCCACTCTGTTTTATTCCTTGTTTTCCAGTTGTAGTTAGCAGTCAAACCGTTTTTCCCCATAATCCTTATGCACTTTAGCAAAACGAGCTTGCCTTTTCATAGCATAATACACAACCTTCGTTTGGTAGAGCTCAGTTTTACATCACTGAACTGTGTATGCCTTGCTTTTCAATGAAAAGTTACTGCTTTAAATTAAATGATTTCATCTTAATCTAGCTAATTCCACTCATACTGTTTCTGAACCTTGTTTTGTTGCAGATGCGTGTTTATTGGCCAAGGCTGCCTCTCCATTTGAATTCAATTTTTCATAGTTTTAAATGATTCTCAAAGACTAATTCCACTTTTGCCACAACAAAAGTAGTTAACAATGACAATGCGAGAATGGTAGCGGTTCTCTGTTGGTTGCAGGAAAATGTCTGTTTGCATGAAGCCTCCATAAGTATGGTAGAAAGTGTGAAATCTGAAGAACATCCCAGTTCTGTGGCTTGAAAAGCAGTTTTGTAAAAGGAACACTGCAAGTAGCTGACATTATATATACATCAAGCCCAAGCTTCAGCTACCTGGAGCCATGTGGGTTCTTATAAGGCATCTATTTTGTATATCGAACATTCAAAACTGGATTTTATTTTGGTAACAGTGGCCTTGGGGACCTACAGACAGGGTGATGAGTGCAGTTGTACTGCACAGGTGACATCCACGTGTCCTGGAGGGCCTTTGCTGTATTTTTGGCTTAACTCAACAATGATTCATTTTACTCAGTGCTGAACTAGGCTACCAATTTTTTCTGTAGTTGCATCCGATTTATAACATGGACAAATGGCACGTTTACACTGGTGTAGCTTACATCAGAGCTATATGCCAGTGTAAATGACATCCCGATCTGAAGTATGCAGATTAGCAGCTATCCCAAGTAGCTCTTCAGAGCAGGCATTATATGGTGCCCTGCTATTCAGCGACAGGAGCAGCCTGTTTGCTGTGTGTGAATGGCTACCCTGGGATAAACAACAGATGGATGACATCTATATCTGTATTGTTTTACCCCTAGTTTTTCCTTTGGGTTTGAGCCCTAAAGCAGATTCGAATATGGGCAGTCTTTGACTTGCGTTTTGAGTTACAACGTTTCACACTTACAACATTTATAAATTGACACCCTGTTTCAACTTCCTGACGTCAGTTTCGACTTTACAACACTTGATCTGACGCGACGCCAGCGAACAAGTTCGCCGTGTCGCTCATCTCCCTGGAGAACATCTCTCCAAACTGCCTTGGACACTTTCTTTAAGAAAGCAGACAAGAACTCCAGAAAAACCTGTAGCCAGGACTCCTGAGAAGACTTCAGCCAAGAACCCTTCAAAAAGCCCAGCAAAGTCGCCTCAAAGAAGTCCTTCCAAACCAATATGATTGCTATTTACAATATAAATACATTAATGTAACTATATTTGATTGAGTACAACATTCTGGGGTATTTTTGGTGAAAACAGGGTATCAGGCCTTGGTTCAGGAACCAATCCACCATTTATAACATTGTTTCTTATGAGAAAATCAATTTCAAGTTATAACGTTTTGACTTGACGCGGTTTTCAGGAACCAATTGCGTCGTAAGTCTGAGGACTGCCTATAATACCAGTGTAATTTTTCTCTCTGCTCCACTTTTACGCTGGCATAAAGGCAAATCACACCAGTGTAAACCTGTTGTATGTCCAGGCTTCAACAGCTTTCTATTTTTTGGGGTATACTTTAAAGATGAGATGTGCTGAGACCTGCATGCAGCTTCAGCACAAGGCTCTCTTTAAGGTGTGAATCGCTAATTATAGAGGTCGGTAATGGGGAATGAAACAGCCTCCTGACTTTCTGAAGCATTAAGAACCACATCACTTGTATTGCTACTGAGAACCTGCAACTGAATCTTCCTAATGAACACATTGCCAAAAGTATTTTGGGTGCTGTACAGAAAAAACAAGCTCCAGGGGTGAAGGACAGGGAAACGAAATGCAGCCACAAGCCACGTGATGGAGTTTCACTTTGATATATGGCACTTGCTTTTAGTCTCTCTCATTTTTTTTTTCCCACCAAATGCTTTGAAGAGTCGACTTGGTTTGTTTTCTATAACACAACATCAGTCAATAGTTTCCTTTTATAAACCTCCTTTTCCAGGACTCCAAATTATACCATTGTAAACTCTGAAAAGGTGTTTCCTTTTGCTGTGCATATGCATTTTGGCTTATACTATACCTACAAATTACATTAAGGCATAACTATTTACCAAAATCATAGAAAAGGCTGTGGGGAAAGAAGCAGCTTCAGTTCAATTTACATGTGGTGTGAAACTGCTTTAAAAAGAAAAAAAAAAGTGTGATTCACAAATACTGCTTATGCTTCTTAAATGCTCAAGTTTAACACTTTTCCGACCAAGGGTTAAGTGTTCTGTTCTCAAGGAAGCAATCCTCAGCACTCCACTGCACTGTCCATTGTACAGACCATGAATGTACAGTGCAGTAATAGAAAAACAACAAGAAATGACAATCTATACCTACAGAAACATTCTGTCATCAGCCAAAAAGAAATAAATACGGAATAATGTTCACTCAATCTACCCAGAGAAGAAGACTCCTAGCGTCCTACCAGTGTCATACAGTAACAGTTATCTCCAACATTTATCTAACAAAGGTCTATACTATAGCTTTCAAATGTGCTTGGCTAGGAAAGAATGGATTCCACCACTTGAAAATGTATAGCGATACGAATTCAGCTGTGTGGTGGCTTCATTAGCATCTGGGTTTCCCTACGTGCTCTTCACAATTCTACAAACCACATTTCCTCCTTCATAAAAAACCTACTCAAGAATAAGCAAGTGCGTAAGTCTTGTCTATTTTCCCTGCTTCGGGTCCAGAGAAGCCAGTAGTTAACCGAGAGCTTTGGAAGCAGCTTATATGTTTTGTTTTGTAATCCAAACATATCCGTAAAACAATGTGCTTCTACTTTTGAAAGCTAGCGTAAGGCTTTTAAAATGCAAGTGTCAAGAAGAGCATAAAGAATTGTACAGCTGCTGCAAAACATTGAAAAAGTTACTAGGAAATTGCCTTTCAATTAAAATTGTTACACAAAATATTTGTATACTTATACAAATACCTATAGGTGAGGCCCTGGGTTAAGCTCCTTCACGAAAGCTGGGTATTTGTACTTCAAACTGAGCTAGACACGTTTATCCAGAGAGCTGCTGTTTCATGGCTACACGATGTGTTTTTGCAAAACATTACAAAAAGTACACGCTTCCTGCTCCGCTATGAACACTCAGCATCTTTTCCGTACCTCACAACAGCAGAATGGTTTTTCCCCACCTTGCACTTCAATGTATCTGTTCCTCATTCAGCTACTGCTGAACAACACTGGAGAGTGGCAGTATCCACAGCGCAGCAGCAATAGAAGGGGTGTAAGAACTGCTAAACTGCTACTAGATATCCAAGAGCAGAATCTGTCCTTTGTTACCCTGCATTAAATGAGAACTGCCCCACCAGATCGGAGCCCAGCAGCAGGGTCGTGCCTGCCAACAGCTGCTGAACACTGGATGTTCCCAGCAGCCGTGGAAATATCTGGGTGTTTAATCCTGTCAAGCTCTTGACTTTTACCTTGCTGGAGTGAGTTTCACAGCTTAATTTGTATACATTCTTTAAAGCTTATTCCCTTGCCCTTTCTGAAGTCAAGTTGCTCTGGGGTAGGGTTACCGTATGTCCAGGTTTTCTTGGACATTTCCTCTTTTGGACCCTACAATTTCTGCCCGGGCAGTTCTGTGAAATATGAACCTATGTCTCAGATTTTACTCTGCTCTGCTGATTGGGGGGGAGGGAGCAATTGGAGGCAGCAGGCGCGTGTGCGTCGGCACGTGCACACACGTGGCTGGTGCACATGTGGGAACATCCCTGGCAGCCTGAAGGACGCGTACCCCCGGAGGCTGGGGGGGCACAGCGACTGCTCACAGGCAGGGGCATAGCGGCGGCAAGTGGGGAGCTCCGGCAGGTGGCCTCGGCAGTGGGGGATGGAGGGTGGTGAGTGCCAGAGGTCAGTGACCATCTGCAGACACCACCGGTAGCGTCTAGCGGGGATTGGCAACTGCCCACGGACACCACCAGTGGTGTCGGCAGTGAGTGCGGGGAGGGGGTGGTGGCGAGTGGTGACCACCAGCCGTGTCAGCAGCGCTTCTGTCTGGGGTGCACATGCACCTGTGTGCACCCTCCACGCATCGCCGATGCCTGGCAGCTGGATGCAGGTAAGTCTGTGGCGGGGCTGGGGCTGAAGGGCCAGGGCTTGGGGACTGTCCAGGGGAGCGTGTGGAGGGGAGGGGTGTACAAGGGGGTGGGTGCCTGCTGGTGCTGGGGGAAGCTGTCTGGCACCAAAGCTGTGGCAGGGCAGTGGGAGTGGGAGGCAGACACCTGCCCCTCCAGCAAGGGAAGAGGGCCCTTCAGGGGCAGTGGGGAGCTCCATAGCTGGGACGGCGGCACCAGGGCCAGTGCCTTTGCTTGCAGGGCCAGGCCAGCTGGGAGATGCTGCCCAGGAGGATGTGGCCAGGCCACCTGGTGCAGCATGGGAGCCCCAGCTTGGGGCAAGGGGGTGCCACAGGCCTCTCCTCTTCCCTCCTGCCCGTGCCGGGGCCAGACTCACCCTGATGCCACCTGCACAAATCTGTTGCCCCACTGGGACAGGCAGCTGGGCTAGGGGAGCAGGGGCCTGCAGGTCAGGAGTAAGGGGCACCAGCAGGGATGGGGGGACTGAGGGTACCAGCATGGCCTGGGGGAGAGGGAGGGACTGTGGGTTGGGAGTGAGGGGCACTGGCAGGGCCAGGGGTCTGCATGTCAAGTCAGGGACAGCAGCTGGGATGGGGGGCTGCGGGTTGGGAGTGAGGGGCACTGGCAAGGCCAGGGGCTGTGGGTTGGGAGTGAAGTATCCCCTGACAGGCAGCCTTTTTGGAACTGGAAATATGGTAACCCTACTCTGGGGTAACTAAGATCTGAATCTGTCTTTAGCCCACACAAACATGAACGGATTTCACTTCAGCACAGTGGCACTGCAGAAGTTTTGTTTTCGGCACAGTTGAACTTGTGACTTTTGGCTCCATTCTGATCTCAGGCGCAAGTACGTGTTATGTCACCTGCCAAAATCCAGCCCTGCAGCTTATTGCCGAACAATCTCCTGAAATCCGGGTCCTTTGGGGTGTTTGACTTCAGTGAGAACAGAGGTGCTCAACTCCCTCCCAGCCCTAAATGAGGATCTACTCATAGGCACTTTATTTTTAGGTGTAGCTACTCTAAGGACCAAAATCTACCTTCAATGCACACGCAACTTCCACGATGGCCTCTGGAAGCTGTATGCTCATTGCTGGTGGCAGAGTTTGGCTGGAAGTGATTTATAAAGGTTCTTGGATGGTTTGCTTTGGATCGTTATTCACAGGCACTTTATTGTCCTCGCACCTGTAAGTTCCTCCTCTTTGAAAAAGCCATTATTCCCAGCTGTTTATCCCCAAATGAAAGTCCTAAATTTAGCCTGGCACACTATTGAAGCACCATGTTTGTTTTGCGTGCAACATGAAATCAATCCTACAGCACCAAATGGATGTAAACACACACCTCTGTACAAAAAATAAACATCTACTGCCGTTCTAACCCGAGCGCCTACAGCAAGAAGCCAGTTTCAGACTAAATACACATTAAATAGCTGTGGATCCAAATTAAATTTAAAAAAAAGAAGCTAAATTACAAGCCTGTGAAATGTCTGTATGTTTTTACTGCTGACTGATTCTTTTCCAGCCCCAGGTCATGCTTTAGATCTTCGCGTTGTCTTGTTTGGGTGGTGGTTCTGCTGACTGTGTTTCTAGGACTGAATATTTAACTGGGAGGAGAAAAAAACCCAGAATCATCACAAATCCAACAGCATGTAAAAGTAATGCAATGCGAGTGAGCTGGGCCGGGCGTGAGCATGTGGTCTGTGGCTCTTGGAAAGTAATTTCATCACGCCGTGCTTTCCCCAGTTCTGATGGGGATGATGCTTTCCTTTTGTTCTTTGCTTTCAGCTCTGTGGCTGCAAAGCACGATGGTATGCATGGGCACTATTAGTAACCCTATTGTTTATAAGAGCAGGTCCTATGTTTCCAGGTCTTTCCCCGCTATGCAGTGAGGAACCAAATGCTTCGGTGCTGCGTCTCTTAGCACGCTAAATGGTTTCTCATAGGAGAAGGATGCTCTGGGAGCTGGGTAAGCCTTGAGTGAGGTGTGCACAGCAGGCATGTGAGAGGGCATAGAGCAGCCACTGTTAAGGGGGCTGCATTGTTAAGCAGCCAGGAGGTTTATGAGGGGTCCTAACGAATTCTTACCTTGAGGTTCTTCACTTACGACTGCCTCCATGTTCTCTCCTTTCACGTACTCTGCGTTAAGCCCCTCTGAAAAGCAATGATGTAAAGAGAATCAGCTGGGCAGCACAAAGCGAAGCCTCTGCAAAAATCCAGGTATGCAGCTTTTTTTTTTTTTTTTTTGCCAAGAGTTACAAAGCCATCTGCTGCAGCTCACCTGTGTTAGCAATAGAGTAGATGGGATTTGGGAAACCTGCATGTAACATGGTGCTCTACAAACAGGTTTACTCCTGGAGAGTAAAGCCCCTATGCGTCTCTGTTTAGAAGGCCCAACTTCTCACTTTTTTTTTTTTCCCTAGCTGACCTGCTGGGAAAGATGCTGCAACTCAGTGAGGCTGAGAGGAAGCAGCTAATTAAAACTCCTTGGATAAGGTGCGACTGTTAAATGGGAGTTACCCTCCCTGGGCAGCTTCTAAACAGAGATATAGTATTACGTTTCAGCGCAAACTGCATTACGCAGTTGTCTTATCAAAGCATGGGCGTAAGCATGTCACAGCAGGCCTGTGTTTGTGCAGCAAATCAGAATGGGGCTGGGGTTGTGAAGCCTGTTAGTCCAAAAAATTAAACGCAGAGCCATGTTCAAAGTTTGCAGGAGGTACAGTTAAATCTGGAGCTGGGGAACTGCAGCTGAGAGTCACTCTCTGTATCGGCAGCATGGCATGCTAGGCTGGGGGTGGGGGGGCTGGCAACCACTGTCACAAACAGAAGTTGAGCTCCCTAGCAATAAGCCAGTGAAACTCCATTGACAGCAGCGGTGCTGAGTCCAAGCTTGTGTTTCTGGCCCTCTATCCTTCACAGCTGCCCTTTCCCACGGTGCTGCAGATCCTACAATCCCTTCGTGTCCCATGGATGTCTGGGCTGCATCCCCATCAAACAGCAAGCCAGTTGTCTCCCCAAATGTCCCCCAGCAAAAGGGACACTCACAGGCACCCGTTCCCTAGGTGCAGCCAAACGTCTGTCCAGGTACGTGCATTTGTCTGTGCACACAGCATGGGCTTCTGCTGCTGACAGCCGAGCTATCAGCTGTTCCTTGAATTCAGCTCATCAGTAGGAAGGAGGCATTTGAGTGCATTGTACTTCCATGGTGCCCGATGTCTCAAGCCAGACAGCTGACTGTCTTGCTGCTGGGTGCTTAACTACATAAGGATTTTTCCTCAGCACTAAGAGGAGCTCTGCCAAAATACTACTGGAGCTGAAACGGGACTCTCAAGCTGCATGGCCCATACAGAGGGGGGGGCGGCGCATGGCCATGGAAGTCACCATGCCCAGCATGCTGACCTGGGGTGTGTGCATGGGGCAGAGCTGGCAGGGGGAGAACTGAAGGCTGAAGCGGGAAAGCGGAAGTTGTCTTTACCTTGCCCCTCTGCAGCTTTGGAGGATAAGGGAGGAGACTTACCACGGAGCAGAACTCGTACGGCAAGTGATGCTACAGTGAGCAGAGCCCTGCCCGCAATACAGCCTTTCCAGGAGTCTGCAACCCATCACAGCTGCTGCCATTTATTCATCGTTAGCACTTCGCACAGGCTGACAGCAGCTTCTGACACTGCTCATTAATAGTAGGCAGGCTCTTCTACCCCTGCCTAGGATACCAGCTTGCCAGCCCTCTTGCCAGGACCCTATGATGGGCCCAACATGTGCCAGAAGGTGAGGAGGCAGCACAAGTGGGGTGGGTACAGGGGTGTGTCATGGAAAAGTTACCTCCCCCACTCCCCATGAGGGCTTGCACACTACCTTTTGTACTTGGCGGCACACGGGGTCAGAGCTGGTAGAACAAGTATCTTGAGAGCAAAAGAGGCTGCCTGTACCAGTCACTGGATAAAAAGCAGACCCAGGCCAGGATGGGGCCTGGAAGTCTGGGCTCCCTCACCTGAGCGTTGCCTACAGCCCGTGGGCTGGGGGAGCTCTCCTGAGCGGTGGGAGATGAAGGTTTAAGTCAGGCTGACATCTGAGACAGGTGCTCTAATGACTGTAATGGGGACAGGGAAGGTGGCAGCGTGTGTTCAAAGACAGGGATCCCAGCTTGAGATAAGAAAGGAGAGAGCTAGGGACTGAGGACAGCTGAGGTCTTGAGCAGCAGCAGCCTGGTGTGAAGGGCCCTATTGGAGCCACCCTTCACCCCAACATTT